TATTTCACTTGGAAGGCGAAAAAATACATGGAGAAAATCCTGTCATACTTCAGCTTCGTCACTGCGTGAGGGTAATATTGAGTGGAGAGGAGTAGTTATGACAAATTGGTACATCAGACTGTGTTTTCATCCATGGATTAGAACTGTAAAATTGGATGCTTCATGGATAGAAAAAGTTCGCATTTGGAGTTCAAGTGAATTTGAATCTAGACATTCTACTATACCATGAAAAGTTCATAAGATTAACCTCAGTTGTGGCGAACACACTCAGTTTACTATGCTCGCCAGATAAATTGTGAGAGTTCATTTTCTTTACGACTTATGTTGTAGTGCGTAATATACATATAGTGTAAGGATGTTTGACGCTCGGCCTCGACAGTGCGTGCTCTAGGAACTCGTTGCCACTGGCAAGGTAATACATTGCACCTCTCTAAGAAAGAGGTTATTTGATTATGCTGTTTTGAGTGGAAAAAGAAGTAATAAAAACGAAAAGCCAAAGTTTTGCATGCAACTTTATGTTTCTCGTTAGTCTGGTATTTCTATTTAAATAGCACTTTTCTTGGCCAAACTTTCCATAGCAGTAACGTGACCCACATCGTATGACATTGCGTTGAAGCCGTAACGGCAACAATTATTCTCGAAAATTCTTCGTCCGCAGTCGGGCAGCTCCTCTTTTACTCATCGAAGGCATTCTAAAGAGATGAATAGAATACAAATCTTTCCTTGAAGGTTGTTAGTCTTTCTCAATGATCTTTTTCTGGTTGCTTTTTGGGGTTTTTCATTTTCAACTTCTCGGTTTTACCTCGATGAAAATAATAGAACCACTGTAAATATTACGAAAGCATATTTTTAAAAAACTGAACAAGACGCATATCTGCGTGAACTCGGGCTTTTTTAGAACAATATGACACTTTTTGTTCATGTCCGAATTACCGCCTCATTCTCAGCAAACTTGTGACCTGAATGCGCGAGTTGACTCCAAAAATTTGGAAAATGCAGTGTTTTTTCAATTGACAGTATGTTAAGTTTATTTGAAGTTATGGTAAAATATGCACTTTAAGGGGCTTAAATCCCCAATGTGTTAGTGATGTTTGTTGAGAATTCTAATTTTTCAATCTGTCCAAAATGACACCCCAAACGATACCTTTGGCCGTGAGCGAGACAAAATGAGGGGACAGAGATGCTCATTGAGGGTGTTGGCTGGGATATGTCGATTCCACTAGAGTTATTTTTAGTTTTAGACGGAAACGGAAATCTATTTCCCCAGACGTCCGCATGATTCCTTCCACCCGTTGATCAGGGAATTTTGAAAGGGCGGTCTGCGTGGAAATAAACGTTTTGTCAAAAAAAGAACTATTTTGGTTCCCACGGCAAAACTATTTTTGAACCCAGCGACAAAATTACTCTCAACCCAGCGACAGGAGAAATTCTGGTCGAGCTACAAAACAACTCGGAGGGTAGCTTAAATATTTTGAATCCAGGAACCAAAACAACTCGAAGCCTAACGATTAGCGACAGAAATCAATTTGAATACTATACCACAACAAAGCAATTCCCAACCATGCGACAGAAGTTTATTTGAACCTAATTTTTTAACAACGCGGATAAAACAACTCGGAGTGTACCGATCAGCCTAGAAAATAACTCAACAAAACAACAGCTCGAGCGAAGCATAAGCGTACGGGCACCTTCGGACTTAGGGGGGCGGTGTCAGTTCTTGCCCGAAAAAATTACGCAATGCCCAAATGCGTAAGTGTTGAAATCGGGAAGCAAAAGCACTTAAAATGCGTGAAAAACAAAAATGTTTCACCAAGATAGTTATGTTGAAAGCTTGCATACTCAATGACCTCTATCAACAGTCTCAATCTAGTGAAATCTTAGTCTTATTAAAAGAAAAAGTTCTTCCTTTATGGCGTTCGTTCAGCGATCGACTGATCAGCATCAAAGACATGGGCCGATCGAAGACTGTTACAGAAGCTATCGCATATTTGAGACGAGCGTCTCGACATATTCGAGACGTTCAAAGAACAACAAGAGGCATTGCTAGAAGTCCTTCGAGGTAGTATTGTTTTGGCCACTGCAGACTCGCAGCGTACACTGCAAGCCTCCATGAATTCAGGAACCTCGTAATAAAACTACACAAACACCTCCAAAGAAAAATTCAAGCAAAAGAGTTAGAACACCCATTCCAAAGGGCTCTTTTCAGAGCTTCCACAAAAACAAAAGTCTTGGTCTTCGTTCGCTTTGATTCGTGTCCTTGTTTTGCCGATGGAAAATTGAGAAAGAAAATAATATCCTTATCGTGGATAATAATCCACGATACACAGCATATAACGAGTAGCTCTAAGAACGACAAAGCCTCTGAACTGGAATCTCGATTCTCTCCCTCATGGCCTGTTTCGCTTTTCTTCTCGTGCCAAGGCCTCGCCCAGGTCACTCATATCATTTCAGTCTAAGTCCTTTTTAGCAGAGAAAGTAGCTTACAAGCCTTGAAACCGATAATGAAAGGCCGGAAAGGAAAGGAAAGGAAAGGAAAGGAAAGGAAAGGAAAGGAAAGGAAAGAAAAGGAAAGGAAAGGAAAAGCCGCTGTCCTGACTAATTACCGTGGTGTTTTCGGTGCGCAACGATATTTCAGATCAGCAGCAGATACAAATGGTACCTACTTTAGGTACCAACTCTTTTAAGAAACCACTCGACCGCCTACCTACAGACCCCCGATCGGGCGTCTAATAACAGGGAGAGACAAAAATTAGCAACCTTTTTTCACGAGTTTTGGAAATCACGCCAACAGCATTATTTTGTAATATTTCTCTGAAGTGTCGTTGCCCGAATCATGAGCGTTTTGCCCAAAAAATTACGTAGTTTTCATAGCTGGGGGGGCGGGGGGAGAAGGGACTGTAGCCCTCCCCGCCCCCCTCCCCAGCTCGTACGCCTATGGAGCAAAGTGATCAGCGACAAAAATAATTTTGAATAGCGGTACAGGGACAAAATAACTCGCAGCGAAGCGACCAGTGACAGAAATAATTTTGAATACAACAACAAATACCTTGGAGAGGTATTTCTCAGCGAGAGAAATAATTTTGAATGCCGGCACAAAGACTAAATAAATAGAAGCATGGCGATCATGGGAATGAAGCAACAGAACTAGTTGTGAATACTGGTACAGCGACAAAACAACTCCTGTAGCTCGGAGCGGAGCTATCAGAGACAGAAACCCGGGCAGAAATAATTTAAATTTGAATTCACAGGGTCTTACAGAAAAACAGAACAACTCAGAGCGCGGTAGTGATTAGCGACAGGAACAATTTTCAATTCAACGACAAAATAACTCGCATGCAAGCGCCAAAAAATGATTTTGCACCAGCAACCAAAGTACACTGAACTGAGCGAAAGGGATAACTTCTTCCGACTGCTTTTCCAGCAGAAGAAACCGGCAAAAACGGAGATGTCATCTTCCTTTGATCATGTTCATGCCACGTTTTCTTCACCTTCGGTTAATTTGCACTAATGTAAACTTTCTCTATTCAATGTGACGAGAAAATGTTATTGTCGTTTCCAGTGTCAATGTCGAAGTCCATCGGCTTGTAAACTCCATTTGAAAAAAGCCACAGTGCATAGTCCATAACAGCAGCCACGACCTTTATAACATGTCCCGTCGGAACGTTTTGCTATTTTTGTTGACCGCTCATCAGAACTGCATTTCCACCCGCCTCCATGTGCCATTTCATTTTCAAGGAGTTGTGAAAATGTATCTCCCACTTTGATTTATCCATCCAGAAATACCAACTCTCTCTAATGTATCTGTAAAAGGCGCTTATATCGACAAAGCGTATGTCCCCGTGGACCGCCGTTTCTAAATTGCCTCATCACCTAAAGAATGGTATCATGCGGACGTAAAAGGAAATGCACTCCCGCTGTTTTCGGCAACCCTAAAATAACTTTAGCGGAATTGACATATCCCAAGGCCTGGACTGGGAGCCTCCCTCTCTGTCCGGGTCCCCTCATTTTCTCCCTGTAATTAAATAACCGAGCCAAGAGTTGACCGAGCTGCTCTACACGGAAAATTTCATGACTTTCCTGCAAGAGATAAAATTGCATTGCTGTATCTCGCTAGACACGACCTGGCATGCAAGCAATGTTCATTTTTTTTATTGTCGTCGGACCTGGCGAGAAATGCTCAACCTCTGAAATGGTCACATCACTATGCACCGCTCAGCGGATTGGTGAAGATGAAACAGGAAGCGAACGAGTGACGGAGTGAAATACCCAAGAAATAGCGAGTACAAGCGACAGTGTTTCCTTAGCATAGGACTGCAGCTCAGTCGAAAGTATTTTCTTAATACCAGTAAGGGAATTTTTCTAGCTTAGAGCTCGTTTTGGTTTTATTACAATCGGTCTAGTTACCCTCGCTTCGTGGGTCACGCTTCTCCGTCACACAACACTAAGCTCTTTAGTTTGCCTGTTTTATGGGATTTCTAAACGTACTGTAATCGACTAGATAAAACCTTCCCATTGTAATCCCTTCTTGAGCAGAACAAAGGACCAAACTGCAGGCTCTTGGCCATTCTCCAGACGGCCATTTTATAACGAGTAGCTCTAAGAACGACAAAGCCTCTGAACTGGAATCTCGATTCTCTCCCTCATGGCCTGTTTCGCTTCTCTTCTCGTGCCAAGGCCTCGCCGGCTACGAGAAGCGAACAGGGCTATGGAGACGAGAATAATCAATCATTTCATCATTTTTCAATCATTTTTTATTTCTTAATAAATGTTCATTTTGCAGTTGGACTGGCCCGCGGATAGCTATGATAGTCTAGGCGGGCCAGTCTGTCAATAGTTACAAATGCTTTTCTTTTTTAATTTACGTAGAATCGAGCTCGAGAATAAACGGATTGCTTTGAAAAAAGCCGTAAGCGAGGAGTATACGCGAGAGTCCTTATGACATTAGTTGAATTCCAATTCGGCAAGCGACATTTACTCCAATGACTGCCATAACAACCAGACAGTTTCACATAACTTTTCATTTATTCCTGTTTTGAAGTTAAACAAGCAATGTTGTTATTGTAAATACTCGACAAGAAAAACAATCGTATTGGAACCATCTTGACTGGCAGCTCTTCATTCTCTTCCAACCCTCATCTCTTTTACCATTTTTCGCATCATGTCTCTGAAAAAGGAAAGGAAATAAGGACAATTGTTCAGTCAAAAGAAAAACCAAAATCACTCCTGAGAGAAATACAGTGTAAAATCAACCAATACAGTGAGCGAGTGAAATGTCATTGGTGAGTTTGTTGGATGAGGAAAGGGGAGAGCGAGTGGGGTAGGGAGGAAGAAAAGGAGGAAARGAGSGAGGCAGGAACKKAGAGAGGRAGGAAGSGTCGGGGGAATCKAGKGACARAGGRAAGGAGGCAGGCAGAGACGGGAAAATGRCAGGGGCAAAGAAARAGACGACGGYAGTGAGGTAGCGACTGAGGGACGGAGGGAGGCGGAAGGCAGGGAGGCAAGGATGGAGGGCTGGAGACAGGAGCTAATAGGGAAGTGAAAACGAAGAGGGGGCGGAGAGGGAGGGAGAGAGGCAAGGACAGAAGGAGAGGGGTAGGGACGAAGAGAGGCGGGACGGAAGGAGGGATGGACGGACGAATGATCGAAACACACAACAAGCAACTCATACCTGATCGCATTAAGCTTCTCTTCCACTGACTCCCAAGGATGGCGATCTTCACTGAATTCAAGAAGCTCTAGAAAGAAAGAAACAATTTAACACTTTGAGAGTGTCCCAAGCATAACGCGTTTGACAAAAACAAAGTTATCTTGGCTCCTTCGTCAACAAGGGATCTATTGCTTGAAATGAAATATAAATGTTGTCCTCAGCCATATTTATTGGATACCTCTTTACCCTGGGTACCAGAGGCTTTCTATCTCTTAGGCTCCGACGAGCGCTTATCACTGCGTATGCAAATGCGAACATGAAAAATGCAACGTAGGAGAACTAGGGCTGACGTGTCCTTGTCTCGTCCCAATCCTTTCCTGTCTTGAACCATCGCCCCGTACTCTATTCCCGGAATTTCGAGAGAAAAACAGGCTGCAATAAATCTAACTAAAACATCCGAGTTAGGATGCCCAATAAAGAAAGGTTTTGCAGCATGAAGCAATTAAACACAATGTTGAGACTTTCTACTCTCCTGGATGCAGTGCTAGTCGATCCGAGGTCCTCCCTGATTTAGTCAGACCTCCCTTAATAATCCCACATTACCCAGTTATATCTTCCGGGGGTGGTGGTATTTAAAGACACTTAGAGAGTTAGATGTGTTTTGCCAAAGAATGCAGTACAACAATCCCGGTTTGCGCTTAAACTGGCGTATATCGCATGATATCAGATCTTAATCTAACTTCCAACCTTCTGCGAGTTTCATACAAATACTGTAGCTTGACATATAAGAAGTAAAAAATAACTGTCCCTAAAAACTGAAAGAAATGTAGCCTGTAGACGTTTCATTTTCGTTTTTCTGTTTCAGGCGAGAACATCGAGCAAGCAAGCGAGCAAACAAGCGCGCCTGAGGTGAGCAAAAAATGTGGAGAAGTGTGGGGGGAGGGGGAGAAAAGGAGAGTAGAGGAAACGATTAATTTTTTCCCCCACCCTCTGCCACTGCTTCTTATTTTTCCCAGTTTTCCGCCCTCGCTCACAGTTTTTAAAATCCATTCCCTTCGTATGCTTTTAGAAATGAATGCCTGCTATGCAGGCGCTAAAAAACGTATAGAAAGAACTGATGGCAAACTGTCAAGATTAGTAGACAGGGGAATTTCACTCAAGTTTCAACACAAGCGCAACTGGTTTCCTCAACGAGGCAAGCAAAACTATTTGAACGAAACTTCTTTATTTTAAGATGATTTCGTCAAGATGGTCAAACCAGGCACGCACAGACTAAACTTAGTTTTCAAATTACCTTGTCACGCAAGAAAACTTTAAAATCCTCAAGCAATTGAAGAGGAAAGCTAACGACGCCACCAACCACTGCGCGTTACTGTCAGAGTAACGCAGCGGAATTATACAGAGGATAAGCAGCTGGCCTAACCAGTCAAACAGGTTCATCCACTCCTTGAAGTACGAGTGCCCTTCTCTGGAAGACAGAATACAAGATGGGAGATACTTCCAACCTAACGTTTCTGCAAATAATAGCAAATGCCTGGAATCTAATAGTGTGGGCACGTAGGCTACTACTATTTCCAAGGTGAAGGTACATGTAGTTTTGAAAATGTTATTTTCCGCAGGAAAAGAGATCGCCAACGAGTCAGACGAGCGAAAACGTGAGTCTGACGAGGCGGCAGCGATATAGCGTCATACGTAGTGTGAAGGTTTATGCAGCAGGTTACCCAGAAAAATACCCAGATTTTCTCAGCCCGAATTTGCGTAAGTGATATTTGGTTTCTCGGTGAGATTACTTTGGCCACATTAGGATGTAGTCGGATGTTGTTGATATTTGACACGAGCCAATCATAACACTATTTCCTTTGTGACGTCAAAAGACTTGAAAGCGTTGAAGAGGATCATTCCAGTCACTCAGCGTTAACTCGTCCGGTCGTGGATTTATCGCTTATTTCGGTTTCTTGGCCTGACATTTAGTTTTCGTGGGTGAAACTTGGATTTTTACGTTTGAATCGCAGAATTGATAAGGTCATCACTGAGGACCTGAGTTGTTTTCAGGAATCAACTCGAGTGTGTGTTGTTTATTCGAGTGAAAGCGCTATAGACTACAAGTAGTCCTTCTTTTGTTTAGTCCGTCGAGCGTGACGCGAGAGAAAACCGCGAGAAAAAAATGGCTGCGTGAAATCCTGGGGGCGAGGAGCGCTAAAATTCAACGCTGTTTTTGTTGTCAAAATGTTTCGTGGTTTATCGCCAACCTACGTGTTGACAGAGCCAAAGGAGCTCAAATCTAACCAACGAGTGCACTTGGTCTACAAGTCTGCAAATAACAGTCGGTCATCGTACAATTGTCCGGTAAATAAACAATTTGAGGTTTTAGCAGGTAAAGGCTTTGCTTGGTCGGACACTCTGACCGGACATTTCTGCTACAGTTAAAAAAATATTTTCACTGGAAACTTGCGGCCGAATATGAATCAAGTTATTTTATTATAATGCGACAAATACTACGCAAAAAAGCTTTGTTATCAGTTTCGTTTTTATTCCATTTTGAGAAATAATTTTATCAGGCGTAATGCGTTGTCTCGGCCGTCACGTCGAATTGTAAACATATTATACATCAGCACCATTATTTCTTCGTGAAAGATAATGAAGCCTCATTTAGTTTGAATTACGTTCATCTGAAAAACTACTAAGATCTGAGGTCTTATGTAGTTACTCGTTGTTTTTGTGTCTGCAAGTGTTGTGGAATTAATTTTCAGTGGTAATTTAAGGCGATTAAAATGTTATGCAAATTGAATACACGGCCCAAATTCTCACGTTTCTTTTATCTGAATGCAATCGTTTTCAGAAACTTTAGGAGTACAGACGTTTGTAAATTTTTCTCGATTTTCAACACGTTAAATAATACCGGACTTAATGTAAAGGGCTCCATTCTGGTGCTAGTACCGATTTTCAACTTAGTTGACTTTACTTTTAAGCCATTTGAATTTGCAAACAACATTTTGGCGAGGGGTCTACAGAAATACCAAAATGTCTCAAATGTCCCTTATTTTTAATTCCTAACTACAAAAAAATTTTCCAACCAGACTGACGTTTTGTCAAGTCAAAACTTGTCCTTGGTTTGACAAATGACCTGCTTATAGACAAAAAATTATTTGCAGGCTTGGAGTACTGAGTTCTGAAATAGAAAGAAACTTCAAACCAAACAAATATTATAGCTAGTAGTAATCGCAGATTGAAGAGTGCGTTCGAGTATTGGTAGGTTTGGTATGTTAAAATAGCAAATATTCTAGGAATAACATGTTCTATTAACTTGTGAGTTTACCGCAGCTGTCGCTGTCACGCAACATGTCATCCCGTGTCATCAAATCGTAGTTTATAGAGGGGACCTCAACTTCCTAACCATAACGCAAGAAAATCAAATAATCCACAGAACAATAGCGGACTTTGCCACTATGTTATATCTGTCTGTAAAACTTCAGTTGTTCTCATAAAGATATTGATTTCAGCAACAGACAGCTATATAAGTTACATATCTCATAATCTTTGATTACACGATTAGTTACGATTCTGGACATGTCTGCAAGGCTAAATGCGCAACTTATCCGCTACAGTCTACAATAAGCTGCCTCGACACTCGAAAGTCCGCCACAAGATGCCCTATCAACACTCGAAAGTCCGCATTATTCCACAACACTCAAAGGAAAGCATGTGGACGAACAGGGAGATGACGTCATTTGCCCCTGAAGAATATTTTGGGGGGCATGGTTTGTGTCCATAGATACACAAAACTCGATTTTTTTTTCCGCATTTCGTGATTAGAACTGCCTTCTCTGGAACGCAATAACATTGTGTCTAGATACCCGGCAAGCGGGACGTGTTTTCAAAAAACTAGATACCCGGCAGTCTGAAATTATCATAGAAATTCCATGGAATAACTCCTTTTATTATATCTCTCAGTTTGTACGCGCGCTGTGATTGGTCAATTTAGCGGGACATATTCTACTGTACGGCCCGCTAAAATTTAAAGCTGTTTTTGCTGCCAAAATGTTTCGTGGTTTATCGCCAAGTGTTCTTAACCTCTCTAGCAAAAAGAAAGTAGAGTAAACTTTCTTTTACTTCTGAAATTGTGAATTAAGACCTGCCAACGACTTCAGAGTCACTTTAGGCTTTGGTAGATTGTGCTCGAAAAAAAAGCTTATTATGCTTTTAGCAGTGCTCATATTTTTTAGAAATTATGCCAAAATTATGCTACTTTCTGAA